CTGGATACGTTGTGCAATAGGATTCACTGTGCACTGCCATAGGCAGGCAGGGGCCCAGGCTGCCTGTGACACAGGTGATTCACTGTCCCTGTCCCTGCCCCATTGTGCCCAGCACACCAAAGCCTCATGAACCACAAAGTGGGCCCTTAGCCCACCTCCCATGGCCAGCATTAGTGCCCCACCCCAATCCCACACACAGCACGGGCTCTGGTCAGAGCCCTAGCTGCCCCTGACCCCAGGTGGGCAGTGCCTCTTGATCCTTGTGGGTCCATCCCAGCAAGTGCCCTTGGAGGCAGCAGGAGTTTGCCCTGGTGGGGCTGCTGTGGTCAGTGGGGCCTTCTCCCACCCCAGGGACTATTAACATTAGGGCTCATGCCCTCCCCATTACTAAAAAGCTGCTAATGCTTCAGACCGAACTGACTTATTCCCCTTGATGCTAAAGGAGAGCTGGTGGGGGCCGGGGGCGGGACCCTTTGTCGGGCCCACAATTCTGAGATGTTATTTTATGCAATAAACTGGTTCTTGTGTGGGGGCCTGGCCCTGAGAAGTGCTTCATGATACATTCATTGAACGAACTGCTGCCATGTGATTGTTGAATGATTTTGCAGTAAGGACCAGATCTTTGCTTCTGAATCCTAACATTGCCTTTGCTTGGGGGGAGACTATGGGCCAGCTGTGACAGGGCCCCCCCCACCATGACCACTGGATTTCTCACTGGGTTATCTAGGAGAGAGGGGTTCAGAAAAGACAGGTGGCTTGAGCAGGGCTCCTGAGTCAAGGCTCATGGCTTAAGAGCTCCAAGTAATCTTCCCGAGCCTGCTGACCTGCAGTTCTCGGAGCCCAGCAGCCCTGCAGGGGAAGCCCAGCATAGCCATCATTGTCCCTGTGGAAGGAAATTAACTCCCAGGGAACTCAGGGAAGTGGGACTACAAACATCCAAGGTCCGGATGGGAGCTTCCTGTCCTTGCAATCCTCGCAGCCTGCCAAGGACTCCCCCTCTGCCCAGCCCTGGAGTCCAGTTTTGCCTTCCTCCAGGGGCAGCAGGGAATGGGTCCAGAGAAGAGATGAGTGTTTTGGGGGGAGGTCCACCCAGCGGAGGGCCAGCAGATGGGACCTGGATGCTGCCCTCCCTTGTACTTGGTTTCTCCCTCCTCCACACGTGCCTCTGGGGGCACCGGTCTCCCCCCTCCTGTCTAAAGAAGAATAGGAGGCTTGGGGACCCCAATTCCAACCCAAGAGGGGTAAGGTTCCTCGGATAATAGGAGTACTGATCACGATAAAAACAATATACTGATCTTCCAGGTACTTCTCATCTTCCCGACAGTCTTCTATAGAGTAGGTGTTAACAGGAAAAGGAACAGGCCGGAGGTGAGGCAAGCCTGCCGACAACCCAAAACCAGCCTAGGGGAGAGCTGAGCATGAGACCTCTGTGACCCCAGCAGGCACCCCAACCACTGCCACCCGACTTCTGGTACAGCTAACTCAGGCTCAAGGTGGTCCCAACAGGGATGCCAGCCATATGAATGCCATGTCCCCACCCCACTCCCGTGCCTGGATGTATCCCGGGTGTCACCAGGACTCAGATACTGAGAGTTTACACAAACAAGCCCCTCCGAGGACAAAGCCTAGTGGGTGCAAAGGCGAGGAGGAGTGCGTAGATCCCAGCCTGCAGTGGGGGAGGTGGTGTCCAGAGGATCAAGGGCTGGGGCCATGGGCCGTGAGGGCCTTTAAGAGTTAGGGACCTCTGGAGCTGGCCCTTTCAGTGTCAGGGCTGAGAGTGGCTCCTGAAGCTAAGCCCCCCAAGATAGAGATCCCGTCAGGGTGGCTCTGGGCATATGGAAGAGTGGCCCCCTCCCCAGCATGGATCCAGGGAGTGTGTGGGGGTGCGGGGCAGACAAAAATCTGCACAGCAGGGGTCGGTGAGGAGGCTCCCGCGCGCCTCATCTGCAGTCTGGACTCTGCTGCCGCCGCCTCCCGGAGACAGCCAGGTGTGGCCTAGGATTTCGAGAGGTGCAGGGGGAGGGGTGGCGTCTCTTGCTCCTGGGGCGCTGGCCCGGCCCAGAGGGGACAGGAAGCCGGGACACCGGGGATTGTCTGTGGTAGCCGCAGCTCAGCCCGGGAGGAAGTTCTGCCGGGCGCTCTCCTCCGCCGGTGCCTCCCTCGCTATATAGTTGAACAGGAAACTCCGCAGCGCGGAGCCGGCCGGGCGAGGAAGGAGCGCCGGACGCGAGCCCACGCGCGCCCGCCGAGGCAAGTGGGAGCCAGGTGGGAGACCTGCCAGCGGGTGCCCCGAGGTGCGGGGCCGGGAGTGGGGGCGCTGGGCCGCGCGGAGGGCCCGTGCGGGGGGTGGGGGGACGCAGGTGACCGCCGCCCTCCCCTGTCCCCAGCGCTCCGCGCTAGGGCCGGGGCTCCGCGGGCCACGGAGGGGAGCGGCGGGCGGATCCGTGCGGAGAGCGGGGCTGCAGGGCAGCTCGGGGGCTGGGGGACCCAGGACCAGTCGGCCCAGGCGTTGGCGCCGCTGACTCCAGTCGTCCGGGCAGTGGCGCCGGCCACCTCTTGGCTCCGCGTCTGTCCTTGAGCTCTGGGATCTCTGTGCTTCCCCATTCCCCACCCCCCCGTTCCCTTCGCGCATCCCGCTCCACCCCCCCCCCGGAGTTGGGAGGAAAGCGAGGCCCAGGTCTCCTCCTTACCCACAGGGACACTGCACTCGGGGAGGTGGGTGTCCCCGCCGTGGGAGCTGCCCTCCGAGTTTGTCTAGGCCCCGCGCGGCTGCGCCAGGAAGGGCCTGGGAGAGGAGGGGCCGCGGCGGGCGGTGCCGCAATCGGCCGGCTCGCGCTCCCGGTGGAAGATTCCGAGCGCCACAGCCTCGCTCGGGTCTCGGGTCGGGGGGTGGGGATGGGTGGAGGGTAGGGTCGAAAGTGGCAGGGAGTCCCAGCGCCACCTGCCAAGGCTCAGTCCCTCGTGGGGGGAGACGCAGTGGCGGGACCCTGCCCCCGGGGCTCAGCGCCTGGCCCGCCTGCGCCCCTGGAGACGCAGCACCCTAAGGCGCTGTCCCTTCCCCCACATCTCCCAGCACTCCGTGACCCGCCCCCAAGGTCCCTATGGCCGGCCTAGGAGTTCAGCACCCCCCATCCCCGCTCCTCCCAGATTCAGCTACTTGGAAAATTGGGGGCGACAGAGTCCCTACTGAACCCCCCACCCCCCTCTTTTCCTCCCTTCCCAGCTCCTGGTCCGCGTTGTCCCAGTGTGGTCTGTGGAAACTCCCCTCTGGGAGATGACAGGAGCCTAACCTACACCCACACACCCAGCTCATGGGCGTCCGGAGACCCGCCCAGTCCAAGTGAGTGTGCGACCGGGACTCCGGGGCACTTGGGGTGGGGGGTGCGTGTCCTCCCCCCTGGGACTTGGAGACTCAGCCCTGGGTCCCGTCCCCCGCAGTGATTCAGTTGACACACTCGCCCGCATCGAGGAATAGGTGAAGTGTGGCTCTGAGCCAGGACCCGGTTCCAGGATCCCTCCGCTTCAGCCGGCAGCCAGGCTTCCGGCTGCGGGTCCCGGGCCGCCAGGTGGGACAGGAGGAGGTGTGGTCAGTGTCACAGCCAAAAGGGACCAGCCACTCACGGAGGCGGTCACCGACCGAGGCAGCCTGGGAGCCCTGGGGGCTGTGTTCACTGCGGGAGAACTTGGGGGGGTGGGGGTGCGCAGTGGAACGAGGGCCGAGCCCCCCTGGGGAAGCCGAGGTGGGAGCCGCAGAGCTAGGCCGGGCTGGGTTGGGCGGGCCGGGCTCCGGGTTCACCTTTGCGGCGACGCCGCTGGGGAGGGAAGGAGAAACCGAGAGAACCGGTTTCCCTGCCTCGGCAGACACAGCCATGCCGGCGGACCCGGGGACTAAGCAGGGCAGAGGCATCTGGCGCTCGTGGCCCGGCCCTGAC